TAAAGTCAGGAAACAAAGATAGAATGATTGCAGTTTTATATACCAGAAGTAATGCAAACCAGAACACATTTAACGTCCTGAAGGAGAGAAAAAACAAAACATGTCAGTCCAGAATTTTATGTCCCATGAACATAACTTTAAAAAGTAAAGGTAAAATAAAGATATTTTCCAACAAAAGCTGAGAAATTTTATAGGCAATAGATCTATACTAAAAGAAATATATCAAAAGAAGTTCTTTAGGTTGAAGGAAAAGCATACCAGAATAAACTGCAACAGTGTTTTAAAACTATAAAACTCTTAGAAAGTGTATGTATAATTCTATGTGATTTTTGGATTAGGCAGTGGTTTCTTAAAAGTGATATCAAAGGCACAAAGAAAATTAGGATAGCTTGTACTTCATCAAAATTAAAAGTTTTTGTGCTTCAAAGAATATCAAGAAAATGCAAAGACAGCTCACAGAATGGAAGAAAATAATTTACATATATCAGATAAAGGTCTAATACCCAGAATTTATAAAGAAATTTCATAATTCAACAATAGAAAGATAAATAATCAACAATATAATAAATGTTGGTAAAATCAAAATGTCTATTGACTAATGAATGGTTAAACAAAATATTTTATTATAATCTGAAAATGTGGATTATTATTTGGCAATGAAAAGGAATGAGGTACTGATATGGTTAAACAAAATATTTTATTATAATCTGAAAATGTGGATTATTATTTGGCAATGAAAAGGAATGAGGTACTGATATGGTTAAACAAAATATTTTATTATAATCTGAAAATGTGGATTATTATTTGGCAATAAAAAGGAATGAGGTGTATATATATATATATATATATACACACACACACACATTATGCTAAATGAAAGAAGCCAAATATTGTATGATTCCACTTATATAAAATGTCCAGAGTAGGTACTTCTGTACTAGATTAGTGGCTGCCAGAGTCTTAGGTGAGGAGAGGAGGTTGAATATGATGAATGACTGCTAATAGGTATAAGATTTTTTTTGCACGGGGGAGGGGGAGGGAGATAATGAACATGTTCAGGAATCAAATATAGGGATGTTGTGCATATACCCAAACCCAGTGAATTTTATGTTTTAAAGGAGTGAAGTTTTATGGTATGTGAATCACATCTCAATTAAAAAAAATTGGAATGTATTCTGAAAATCAGTTACTTATAATCTGATAAATTGTATTAATTGAATAAAATTATAATTCCAGTGTCAATAAAGTATTTTTTAAGTTACCCGCCCTCCCTTTAGAAATAATGAATCTGATTACTAGAAGTGTTTGGGGAGGTGTCGCAGGTTGAGTTATGGAGAGATAGGTATTATCTTCAAGTCACCTACTATCCTACTATCAAGGGTAAATTCATATTAGGACTATGGGCATGGTGAGAATTAAGATTTAGGACTCAATGTTTATATACTCACAACCTACTGATAACATATCACATAGGCATCTTACTTGTAGTTGATGCTGATGTGATAACTTTTATTATTTATAAATTCATGCTTTCTTTAAAATATAGATTTTTAAGATCCGTGATGGCTATACAGAGATTATATTCCCATAGTTTCAGAAATCTGTTGTTGGATTATTAGGTAGAGCTCTGGAATGCACTTAAACAATATTGTTTAAGTTCCTGAGTACCAGTACCAACAAATACTAGAGTGGATTGTGCAAATGCAATTTTGAAATTTTGTCAAGTATAATAAAATTACACTTAGCTTTTTAATCTTACCAATATATTGTTGCTTCTGGAACTAATGAATCCTTACCACATTTATTTTGGATTTTTTTTATGTCCTCCTATATGTGGCCTTGGAGGCCAAGATGGCCAAACTTCTTGTCTCATACTTCAGACATATTGTCAGGAAGGACCAGTCACTGGCGAAGGATATCATGTTTGGTAAGGTGGAGTGTCAGAGAAAAAGAGGAAGACCCCCAACGAGATGGATTGTCCAAGTGGCAGTATCGATGGACTCAAATGTGGCAACAGTAGTGAGGTTAGCCCAGGATCGGGCAGTGTTTCATTCTGCTTTGCTGTGGGTCAGAACCAACCCGATGGCACTTAACAACAACAATATGTGTATGGGAGTCCTGGTATGGCTCTGTAGGATAAATACTGGACTGCTAACCATAAGGTCGGCGGTTCAAACCACCAGCCACTCCTCGGAACCCATATGCAGGGTTGCTATAAGTTGGAAGATTTGATAACACTTCATAACAGCAGTATGTATATATGGAGATTGCAGTGGCTTTATAGAATAAGCACTGCATTATGAACCACAAGGTTGACAGTTCGAGCCCACCAGCCATTCTGCAGAAGAATGAAGAATGAAGAAATATGAAGCTTTCGTATCTCATAAAGATTTACAGCCTCGGAAAACCTATGCAGGGTCACTGTGAGTCAGAGCTGATTCAACAGCACTTAGCAGCAACAAAAAACATACATGTATGTAAGGAACCCTGGTAGTGTAGTGGGCTTTGAGTTGGGCTGCAAACCACAAAGTCAGCAGTTCAAATTCACCAGCTGTTCTTTGGGGGAGAGATGAAGATTTCTGCTCCCATAAAGATTTACAGCCTCAGCAATAATAGCAAAGTTTAAAAATGCAGAGGGCAATAAATACTGGTGAAGATGTGGAGAGATTGGGACCCTCCTACATTGATGGTGGGACTGTAAAATGGTCTAGCCACTCTGGAAAACAGTTTGGCAATTCCTAAGAAAGTTGGAAATAGAAATATCTTATGATCTAGCAATTCCTCTACTTGGTATATATCCACAAGAAATACGAGCCATAATATGAGTAGGTATATGCATACCAATGTTCATAGCAGCACTGTTCACAGTAGCAAAAAGATGGAGACAGCCTACGTGCCCATCAATGGAAGAATGGATAACCAAACTTTGGTACATGCATACAATGGAATATTATGCTACCTTGAAGAATACCAAGGAAGCTGCAAGCCACCACATAACATGGATGAACCTTTAGGTCATAATGCTGAGTGAAATTAGTCACAAAAGGACAAATATTGCATAAGATCTTTATTGTAAAAGCTTAAGAAAAGATTCCTATACTAAAAGGAAAAAAGAAAATTCTTTGTTGGTTACCAGTGAGGGGAGGGAGGATATTTGGGGGAGGTTGAGGGAGGCAACAGTAGAGCATAGGGTAGGGGCAGACACATCACAGTTTGGGTGTTGGGGAGGGCAATACACAAAAAGGGGGAGGAGGAGGTGGAAGAACAAGATAGATAGAGGAACACTGAGACAGGTGTGCATGGCCTAGTGGAACAGAGGTAAATAGTGATGCATGCTCAACCTTGGAACAACAGGGCTCTGTGATACAGGGATCAAGGCATAGTCTGAAGAGGGTTAATAATACTAAGATGCTTGACTGTCTTAAGAATATTGGTTTTCCTTGCTTACTATTATAAAATAGACACTTGAGTTGGATAGAAAGGAATGTCAGGAAACATGATTATAGAAAGCTTGTAAGCCTGTCTTCAGCCTATAGCTGATTGGAATACCTAAAAGGGGTTCTACATCTTGCCTAGTGAAATAGGCCTTTGCAGCGTATAGGACCATAGGTGGAATCCTGAGTCCCATCCAGAACCTTCTGAGGTGGGACATTTCCTACTAGAAAGGACAAGCAGGCCAATCTGGAATAGCTAGAGTGACAGATACATCTTCAAAGAAAAGTCAGCAGGAAACCCACCCCCCCAAATGGCAGTATGATTGGCTACTACAAGAATAAGCAAGTTGTTTGCCAGGAAGCCATCAAGGCAAGCAATCAAGTCCCTTCAGGTCAAACCCCCCTCTAAGGCTGAAACTCAAAGGGAACACATGAGCAGTCATGGAAGCTTGTTGGCGACCACCTTGGTTTACTGGTGAGTGGAAGAAGAGGAAAGGAAGCAATAAAGAAATGGGCTAAGTTCAACCACGTTCTATAGACTCCCGTTGACCTGGAGATGAGCGAGAGAAGAAGGACAACTGGTTGGTCCAAAGTGTGGTGAGACCTGAGCCCATGGACAAGGACATAGCCACAGAGGGCTAGAGCTGAGAGTGAAGTATTCAGCTGATAGGAAGTGAGGGGAGACATACAGGAGCACCCAAACTTGCTGATAGTACCCATTTGACCTAGCTTTGATGGCTTGATAATTAGAACTTGACTAGAGGAAGATAAAGAAAAAGCAATTTTTGATAAAGGAAATGATAAATTGCTAAAATTTGATGAACTTGACCTATTCTCATGGATGTTGTTGTTGTTGTTAAGTACTGTGGAGTCGGTTCTGACTCATAGTGAACCTGCACAGGGTTTCCGAGGCTGTAAATTTTTACGGGAGCCGAAAGCCTCATCTCTCCTGCGGAACCGCTGGTAGTTTCGAACTGCTGACCTTGCAGTTGGCAGCCTGACTCGTAGCCACTACGTCACCAGAGCTCCTAATTCTCATGGATGTAGTAGCTCAAAATACCAACAGAGGAATGGATACATCAAGTATCAATGCTATCCCCTCTGTATACAGGGTAGATAGGGACCGGCAACTTAGACATTGGATATGCAGAATGTGCCTTTTGGTGGTTTAAATTATTACATGTGCATGAGTGTTAAAAATAATAATAAAATTTTAAAAAGAGCTAAAATGAACAGAGAGAAATACTGTTAACATGGTACATGGAGGGAATTATAGTCATAGTAAAGAAGCAAAGTGTATGATTTGTTGAATGTAAAACTGATGATCTGCCCTATAAACTTTCACTGAATTCACAATAAAATCTTTTTAAAAAAAAGATTTACAGTGTTAGAAACAATATTAAGGCTCACTATGTCTAGGAATCGACTCAGTGGCACACAGCTACCACCACCACCACTACCACACACGTATGTTGTCCTGAGGAGCACTAGAATGGATTTGAGTGCCCATGAATCTCCTGGCTTACCCCTGATTTTTGTTGTTTTTGTGTTTTGTTCTAAGTACAGATATCCAAAGGGAAGAGGAGAAAGTAAAACGATCTGTAAAAGATGCTGCCAAGAAGGGCCAGAAGGATGTCTGTGTGGTTCTGGCCAAGGAGATGATCAGGTCAAGAAAGGCTGTGAGCAAGCTCTACGCATCCCGAGCCCACATGAACTCCGCGCTCATGGGGATGAAGAACCAGCTTGGTAAGACCACAGCCCTCTGGTAATACTGATGCTCATGCTGCTTTTATCAACAATGTTTCCTTGAATAGAAAATAGTATTCTTATTAGGAGCACAATAGCTCCATATACAGTTTGAGCCTGCCAGCCACTCTGTGTGAGAAAGATGAGAACTTTCTGCTCTCACGAAGATTTAAAACCTTGTAAGCACTATGCAAGGTTTCTAGGAGTCAAACTGATTCGACAGCACTTACCAACAACAATTATTTTTATGTGTTACCCTTCTTTTATATTTTTTAATTTTTAACTAATGTTACAGAAGTAATGGCAAAACCAAAACCAACATTTAAATTTGCTTTGTTTAGAATTAAGATTGTATTTCTTCATGTGAACAGTGTTTGATTAGTAACCTGAGAGTTGAGTCTTAGGAGTAAAGAACCTGGTCTCTATATGTTGGAGGAAGGATGAAAAGGTCCCCTTTTGTGTAAGAGGCCCAGGGTAAGTCATAGGCAACAATTTTAAATAGCTTAGTTTTGGCTTTGGCTTTGGCTTTGGCTTTTACCCGCCTCCTTTTCTGTTTCATCTCTGTTTCCACAATACTTCCTCACATTTAAGGAGTCTGCAGAATGTGTAATGAATGTTCGGCATACATGTGAGCTACCAATTTTAGGTCATTTCTTTAAAATTTTTAATATAAAGACAAAACATAATTCTGTTTTCAAGTGTCTAGTATAAGGCTGTTTGTGGTCTTTTATAGGCATCTCCAAGTCAGTGGCAACCTGAGACATTGATCATATTTTGCATTCCGTTAGTTTCTTTTCTTACTTAACTTCTGTTAAATTACAAAGTCCTCAAAGTCCTGGTGTAGCGCTGTGGGCTAATTCGCTGGACTGCAAAGTCGTTTGAACTACAAGGTTGGTGGTTCAAGCTCACCAGCTGCTCCTTAGAAACCCATACAGGATCGCTATGGGTCGGAACTGATCGACAGCACTTAATCAACAACAACAATAGAGAATCGAAGGAGCTCCGGTAGCATAGTGGTTGTGAGTTGGGCTGCTAACCTTAAGGGCAGTAGTTCAAAAGTACCAGCTGTTCGCTGGAGAAAGATGAGGTGTTCTGTTCCGGTAAAGATTTACAACTTCAGAAATCCTGTACAGGTTCATTGTGAGTCAGAACCGACTCTATGGCACACCACCACCACCACTACACTACCACTAATAGAGAATTGGAGTCCTGGTGTGGCGCTGTAGGATAAGCACTGGACTGCAAGTCATTTGAACTGCAGTGTTGGTGGTTCAAACTCACTAGCAGCTCCTCAGAAACCCTGTACAGGGTCGCTATGAGTCGGGACTGACTTAGTGGCACTTAACAACAATAACAATAGAGAATTAGAGTTACTTGGGAATGGTAGCAAATGACTATTGGATATTTAGATTGAACATTGACTTTAAAATTATGGAGAAATATTTCACTAAAAAATTAATTCATTTCACTGTTAGATACTAAGCTGATGAGTATATCACACTCAAAAGTTAAATTGTGTGTTTCAGCTTAAAGGATGGGGCCAAATAAGTTCCTGATCTATTAATTGGTATTTGGCTATAAAGATAATTCTTGATGTTCAATTTTAACATTCAGCTGTGGTTTGAAAATATGCCTGATAGTGAATGGCTCCTCAATTTTTCTTTATAAATTGAAGAAAATAATCATGGGTTGAAGGAGAGT